GTGGACAAAGACGTGTGCGGCCTAGCATTGTCCTGCTGGAAAATGACACCTTTACGATCGACCAATTCTGGTCGCTTTTCCTTGACCGCTGCATTCAATTTGTCCAGTTGCCAACATTCACGGATAATAAAAAATAACATAATAATAATTTTATAATATAACATTTACGGATATCATAAAAATGGGAGCGAGAGACATCTATAACTGAAATCGGCGATTACTTAGTCGCCAACCCAATAGAATATAAGGTGTAATAAGAGAACGAAAAAATTGATTTTATAATTAAAGTAAGAATCCAGGATTTAAGAAACTGAAGATGTATTCCAATTTGAATATTTTCTACGGTAAACTTTCTGAATTCTGTTTTCTATGAGATAACGTGCTTCTCGACACGCAATCAATAAAATTGGAATACATAATCGGAAAAAAGAAACTGGAATGTAGAAATTATTTCGCATCGCCACCCAATAATTCTTAGTGTTCTCTCTGTTATCACTGTTACACGATAATAAAGCATGTACACGTGAGCATGAGAAACGCATAATCAGCACCGACCACATTCCCTGATCCCTAATGATTCGCTGTGGCTCGATAGAACGAGCTTCTATCGAAAACCCTGATTAACACACCCGACTATATCCTATCTATATTTATTTCAAACAAACGTAGCCTAATATTCTACACCGATGTATGCATTATTCTTCTCGAGCAGTCGACTCTCGTTGAAGATTCGAAGTTTCGCGGACATTCGATCCGATAACAAACAACCTTTTTTTTAACCAGATTAACAATCCTGTTCGAATTATATTCGTCCAGTCGACGAATCTAACGTTTTCCCGATCTGCGAACAGATCGATGCCTGATAATTGTTTTATTATATCAATGATTTGATCGGTCTCTGTTGAGCAGCGTTAAAAAAATAGTCGCTTGACCGTTTATCAAGTTAACTTTCAAATAAATAGACTGTACATCTTAATGCGCTTAAAAATTCATTAAATTATAATCACAGATAATTTTACGCTTGTAAGAAATTGTCTCAATCGTTTCCAATTGTTTTTTCAAATCAATCATTCCTGTTTCAATTTTTTTAGTAATAATGCCAGAACAGGAGGATCTGCAGAAAGGTTTGCAGTCTATCAACAAACCGTTTATTTTGAAAGTGGCATAAGTCACTTTGTTTTTAAGTCGATATATTCAAGGGTTTGCGTGTTAACGCGTTTAAAAATATGGACGCTAACTTTCGAGAAGATTTACTTGTATTTGTTATCTCGGGATACTGATATTTTTCTCGATATAAATAATTTCGTATAAACATTAAAAAATCATCACTTTCCATTACGGTAAAGTGACTTATGCCACTTTCAAAATAAACGGCTCAACTCTGTCTTATATTACAAGCGCTGCAGAAATTCGGTAGTTGCGCTGCTCAGCACCGATCACAGAAACTCTTTTTCCACCCGTTATTAACCGAAAGCGGCGCTTGCGATACAACGCAACTACAGTCGCTCTAACACAACAGTAACCTAACCAGAATGACTAATCCGTTTTCATCTTAACCTTGACGATTCTAAGCGACTCTCACGATTATCTCCTGCGACGCCCGCGCGCTGCGGATCCACCGAGACAGTCTCAAATGATTTTTTATTTTATTTCAGAAATAAAAGCAAGGAAAAAGCATGCAGGTAAGAAGTAATTCGCATGAAGCGTCTCTAGCTAATGACAATGGAGCTGTACATGTAATATGCATGCTCGGTGGAGTTAGTATATGACCGCAGAAAAGTCGTCTTCCCGCGTGCGATTCGGAAATCTAGACTTTTCGAATTTTCTTTTTTACAGGTATTCTGTGCGATTCGAATCGAACAGATACTTTTTTTTAAATAATCTAAAGTTCCGATCGAGTATTGTTTTTGAACTTTCAAGGGAAGACCGTTCTATTCCAATTAGAATTGTTCTGCATAGGATTTGATTACACCTAAAGCA